AGCTGCGTGGAACAGAAGCATGTGGCACTCATTCGGCATACGCGGCAGGAAAGGAAACACAGTCTGTAGAAGGCAGCACCCTACAGACCCACAACGTTTTCTGCACTTCATCTCGGACTTCCCACACCTTCTTGAATGTGTGAGGAACACTTTTGTTCGAGCGGGCGTGAAACTGCCAGAAGGCCATGCCAGTGTTGACGCTATTGACAGTGCCCGGAAGCTTGATGAACAGCATTATATGACTCTAAAAGTCATGTCTGACATTAGCAAATCGGTCGTGCATCCCAATGGCTTTGAGAAAATGAGGGTAAATTATGCAGCGCGGCTTTACAGTGACGAAGTCCTCAGAGGCCTTTTCTTGCACCATGCAACCATCGAAGAAAAGCATGGGAGCACAGAGGTGACAGTCAGCTTTGTCGAAATAATGAGAAGGCTCATTGTGACCATGCTTCAAGGTGCAGCTCAGGTGCACTTAAGCCTGGAGGGACGCACGAGAAGTGCATTCAAAGCTTCTTGACTTGCCAGGACGATTGGGAAACAGCTGCTGGCATCGGAGGTTTTCTAAGCCGCAGTACAGCCGAAGGGCTTCGTGTTACCTTATCAAGCACGCCACACCTTCTCCGCTACCTGACGATGAAGTTGAGCTTCAGATATATGATGACATGCCGCTTGAGTCAGCACCCCCTGGAGAGGCTGTTTGGAATCGTCCGACAAATGTCTGGATGCAATGATCATCCGACTGCCTTTCAGTTCTTAATCTCTGTCAACACATTGAGCTTCCAGAATTTGGAAAAATCACCGAAAAGAAGCAATGTGTCCTCTGGACTACTGAGAATTCCACTGGGAGCTGACAACGGAAAGGATTTCACTCCTCGGGGAAGTTAGACGAGCTTCTTGACGTAGATAACCTTGCTGAAGCACATGAAGTGCTCAATGAATACGGCCACGGCATCGAGCATGCAGACATGGTCGTGCAAAGCAGCGATGCCAGACTCATATTCTACATGGCTGGATATGTGGCAAGAAAAAGCATTGCAAGCACCAAATGTGCAGAGTGCAGCCAGCAGCTCCTAAAGTACAAGAACGATCTATCTCCAGCTGCAGCACCCCTCACGGCTGTTGTTGACCGAGGAGGCCTGCTGTACCCATCAGCCAAGCTCAATGAACTCGTGACCACTCTCGAGAACACTTTTACCCTCTGCTTCAGTGTGATAGAAGTCAAATCTGACAGCATCATGGACTTGGTTTCCTTCTTGCAGCTAAGAAAGCTTACACTTGTTGACTGCCCTGACCACAGCATGTCCCTCACAAACAAAATTATCAAGTTCTATGTTCTTACTAGGCTCCACTTTCATGTCAAAGCTCAGAACCGCAAGCGAAACGCTAAGCAGGAAAGAATGAAATTGCTGAAGCTTAGACGGGTGCTCTGAGTTTGATATTGTAACCTTAAGCTCTATTGTTTTTTTTTCCGAGTGGAAAGTGATTGTATGCCTCTCATTACTTAGTGCCAAGCGATGCGCTGTCTGTGTTCAATGTTTCAATGTTTTTAACTACTCCCGAGCATGTGTAAATGTGCGTATTTTTTCATTATTTTACCCTGTATTCTATGATGTGCAATAGATATTACTAATCATATGATGTGCAATAAATATTTGTTTTATTTCCCTCCCCCAGAACTTGGGTAATATTTTTTTTAAGAAAGCCGTCACCTTGCACTCCAAAACACTGCAGTGATATGCGAACGAAAGCATTTAGTTGCGCAGAAGTCTTGCAGCGCCAGCCAATTTCTTTTAATGCTTGAAATGGCGTTCTATCAGCCATCGTCACAGTGATTTATCTGAATCGCCATTTTATCTGAATCGTGCATCTTTAAAAGGTCCGCACGCTCAAGGCGCAGCGCGCGTAACTAGCATCACCATTCCGCCGACAGCGCCACCGCCGCGCTGCTCGAAACGGAGGACCGGCTCCGAGCTCCCGTTGGCGTCACCTCCCATTTCTAGCCACCATAACCTAGCTCCACGCTAGTTTTCTTTCTTTATTTTTATTGTCTTAGCCACATCAGCATCGCCGTTTACACTGCCGAAATTCGCGTGCATTTCCGTCCAGTGCATGGGATAACAGCGCACAAAAAGCATGATTTCAGTTGCGCACCAACGCCTCCGTCAGGCAGTGCCCTACATCAAAGTCGCTGGTGGCGCCACCACACGTGTGACATACCCGGCGTCAAGCAGGGGACTCCAGCAAGCCCACTACCCTATTCTAGCTCACTTTAGTAATGTTGATGCAGAAACTCTAACATAGTTCTGTAAATGAACCTAGTACACGTCACAACCAAATGCTCAGTTGCATTTATTAGTACCCGATGACGAACATTTCACTGTACCCAATAGCAACTGGACAGTGCATAATGACACCGTTTATTTATTTATCAGATGCGAAGCAGCTATTTGACTAGCCTGTGTAACGCTGTCCCTCTGTCCGCACCGTGCCACCCTGGCCGCAGGTGTTCGGACGGTGCCAAATAGGTCACGTTTCCCCTCGCAGAGAGCGCGCGTTGAGGTCACTCTCTCCCTACCCTGTAACCGCTTGCCGCGTCTGATCTCTCTCGCTTCACCCTTTCCACCGCTAGCAACGCTCGAGCGCACATCCAGCGAAGTCTTTTGGCTCATCGCTTCAAACGATTCTTCCAGCGCTCACCGCCGCACCCGCGTTAGCACCGTTCAATCCGTGACGCCAACCATGCGCAACGCTGCTGCTTCGCATCCCATCAGGGTTCCTTTTGGGAAGATGTCGTTGATTTTTATTTATTTATTTATTTATTTATTTATTTATTTATTTATTATTTATTTATTTATTTATTTATTTATTAACGCCATAGCGTTAGAGAGTTCGTGTCACAGAAAACCTGCCACCGGCGTCGGCCCCGTTGGTTGTGAGCGAAAAATCGTCTGTGCGTCTGTGACAGAAAAATCAAGTTACCTAGATAGCCACGGGAGGTCGCTACTTGTCCACGCGTGCGCTACTTGTCCAGTGTGATCGCGTGCGCACGCGATCACACTGGTAAAGCCGCGCGTTCGAAGAAAAAAAAAGTGTTCAAGGTCACGAGGCGCGGTAGTGTCTTTGCCCTGCCATCCCTCTCTGCTTAGCTTCCAGCACTTTCGTCGGGACTAGAGAATAGATAATGCAATTTCAGCATGCGACAAACCTTTGTAACTCCACTCGCACTAGACGGATTCTTAACATTTTTGCGGCGTTGAATTCGTAGCAATAAGCTCTTCTAATGAATTCATTCCATGGTTACTTGAAAAAGTGTTTCAGGGCCCCTTAAATGCATTTTGTTCGACAAGTATCACGACGAAAACGAGCCCTTTCGGGGATAATAGAGCGCGCTGGTCCAATCTACTGTGTGCGTTTTTGTGTGCGTGCGTGTGTATGTAACACAACATATTAATAAGTATGTACTTAGCGGTTGAAATGTGCACTAGGGCCGGATCTCGCTATTGCGTTCAACTCTTAAAGGCGAAGCTCAAGGGTCTCCCAATTGTTTTATTTGTTTGTTTGTTTGTTTGTTTGTTTGTTTGTTTCACACTGCCAGCTTGCTTTGCGAGTCATAGGCAGCAGTTGGTTGCACAAAAGAGACAAAGGAAATAGTCTGAGAATACACTTTTGAAAAATATATATCGATTGAATCGATATATATATAGCAGCCGTGGTGAGTGATGTAAGTATAAGTTTATTGATATGATGCTCTAACAATGCTACGCGTCCGATAAGTTCGTAATAAGGTAATGCTGCATGCCTCATGGATAATTTACAGTTCGTCTATTTGTTAAACAGTGGGATATTGTTTTCGTCTCAATAAAACAGAGCTGCGTTAACATAGTCAAAGCCCACTTGGGTTCCAACATGCAACCCCACAGATGGCCCACGTGTCAATGTTCTGAGGAGCGCGATTCAATGAACACGATGCCTTCACGAATAGGTGCGGGATCTTTAATTCAAAGGTGTTTTCGTCACATTTATAGCCTTCTTGAGAATATACGTCTGCGGAAACTTAATAAACCTGCTTCTGTGAAGGCCGCTGATTTATTTCCAGAAACTGACACAAATTATCTTCGTTTTTTTATTTATTAAAGGGGAATTTCACGGGTGGGCTTTTGTTTGCTAGGCACAAGATTATTTAAAACTAACAGGCCAGAAAACTATGGAATGTATGAAGGATTTTATCTGTAGTAATTAACATCTAAATTTGAAGAGAATGAAAAGATAGGTTGGTGCTGGGGACTGAACTTGCGACCTGAACAACACTAACGTGGACCCATTATTCAAAGGTCGCCGGTTCGATCCCTAGCAAAGGCAAGTTCTTCACATTTACATTATAATAAGTACAAGTAACATTCTTCATACTTTCCTTGGGTTTCTGTTTCTAAATTTATTCTTGTGCGTATCAAACAAAAACGAGCCCTGAAAATTCCCCGTTCGTTCATTCACAGCGATGGTCTCGTCCTGGTACACTTAATGCTTTCAAGTATAGTATGCGAGGCATGATTGGTCAGCTGTGAGCTCGTAAATGATCGCGTCTTTCATGACGCCAGAAGGCAGGAAAGAGTGTTCCACTCTCGTCGTCATGGCTGACTCACGCTCTCGGGTTTAGATGCACATATATACCTTGCAGCGGACGTTGATGTCGGTGGTTGCGACTATTTTAGTTGTGCGCGAATACCCATTCATAGGGGTGCGCATCGAGGCACCCTACCAATTCACATGCCGAGGCGCACATACTTCAATGGTGTATAGGTGTGCTCTTTTCACTCCTGCTTGGGGCGAGTACGCTGTATACAATCCCATACAATTATATTTATATATGAAACGAGCAGCTTCTTTCGCTGCATTCAGCCCACAAGCTGCTCGTGACGTGATCTGTGATGCGACGGGATAGCTACGTATATGACGCCATGACGGACGCTCGCATTCATGGGTATAAATTTGGTCCCACGCAGGCGCATCCAAATCCAAGCGTCAACTGGTCGGCGGGCGTGCTGGCGGCGCTGCGAATCCCCAACATAATGGAGGCCGACGTGCCCAACAAGCCACTCGACTATTACACGTGTACCTTCAAGTGCTCCAAGCTGGACAGGTGCGCCGCACGTCGCCTTTTTCAATGAAAAGCTTTCAAGCTAAGCGCTAGCACGAACATAGCTTTCATAATTGACGCAGACATAGTTAACGATTCATAAAGCTTATACTTTTCTTCTCTTCCTCTACACCTTTCCCTGTGTCACGTACATTTTCGCCGGAATTTCGCTTCTTGTGAAGATCTTTCTTTTTGATAGCTCAGTCCTTCCTTCCCTTCTTGACTTTCACAGACACCGTGGATAGTAGTTTGCGGTTCCTGCAAACTTCACCGCCAATTGCCTTCGTGCTCCCGTCTGGGCTGACAAGATACCGTTTTGTCATGAGTGTTACTCTCTTTTTTTTCAACTTCACCTCTTCCTGTCATGTTTACTTCTCCTTCCCCACATTTTCCTATCCCTAAAGGTGCTCATTCATTTCATGCCCCCCCTCCCCCCCATCCGGAGGCAGAAACTATCATCCTGTGTTATCTTTTTCTTTCCCCAAACCACACACACTCTCTCTAACAAGCTTTTCAAATCTAATACCGAAGAAATAGAGTGGCTGCAGGCGTAAATGGACTGTGTCTCCATATATTAAAGCGCGCAGTGGCGCAAGTTCCGGTTTCCCTCATATAAGCACAAACGTCATGCATGACGTCACCCTAACCACGAACATTTGAATAAAGGGCAAAGGTTCTGTCTGGCGTTGCAGAATGGGTATCGATATTGGTTAGCCCGTGTCACTGGGGGTTCAGTAACCTACACAGTGCTGCTTTGCAATCCTCACTATTTTTCCAGCATCCTTACTGCCAGAGACAGGTTCGACAGCGACGAGTCACACAACCAATGACGTCATGCGTAGCGTTCCATGGGATGGCTACCGAAAGTTTCGCTACTGCGCTTGTTGAGAAGATGCAGAAACGTGCTTTAATAATCGGAAAGATTGATTCAGTAGTTTCCTTTTTTTCTTTGTTATAGCACAACCATGCAATGTGCATGAAAAAATAAAAAGGGGGGTTGGGGTGGAAATATGTCAACCCCACACACAAAGGGCTAAAAAATAGCAAACCCGCAAAAATGTGAATGAACACGGCATGATGTCGACACTTGTCGGTAATGTTCAGCCTGGTTTCAAGTAGAGCTGTTCGATTACCATATCGTGAAAGCATAGGAGCTGTAACGTGCAAGGAGGTAACAGGTATAACTGTTTACACGCCTCGGCCTCTTCCGCTGTATTTCACATTGAAGCTTTGGGGACAAAAAGACTGTGTTATTCCCAGATGTGTAATTTTGAGACTCGTACGCACCAGCGACTGGCAATGGTCGAGCGATTGGATTATTCACAAATTGACCAGTCGAAAACGGCCGCTTTAATCACAAAGCGGCTCTTTGGCTCAGTCATTCACTGCTCAATTTTTCAGTCGCGCGTGTCGTGACTGCAGTCACAAACCTCTGAACCAATTTAATGCGCAGGAAGAAGACGTCAGCTTAATATACGGGCAAATACAATACGAGTAGACGTGAATTCTGTGTGGCGGCGGCTGTAAGTCGCACGCAAGTATTATCAGTGGCCACCTTCACTTGCTTCCTGCAGCTGGTCGCCATTTTCAAAAGGTCGCGTGACTACTGTCGCAGGAGCCCTTTGACAAATCCTAGTCGAACGATGTCAGCCTAGCCTAAAGCTCTAGCTGCGATGAATTAGGCGGTGCTTGGTGCAACGCAGGTTTCTGGGCAGCGACAACCAGGACGAATATTTCACGGTGACGCAGCGAGTGTGTGTCGCCTACGAGATCCTGCAGACGGCGCGCTACGGGGCGCGCCGCAAGGCGCAGATCGGAATCGACCGACTCATCGAGGAAGGAGTCTACGCAGCCGCATTCCCTTTGCACGAGGTATGCACTCTGAGTGACTCAGCTGTACGGGCACGCCTGTTGTGAAACCTTTCTTGTTTTTTTTTTTTGTTTCTGTCTCTCTGACATCATGTTCTGCATTAGCAATCATCCTTTGATTTTTACTTTTCTATTTTGCTCTTCATGTGTTCTGCCTGACGCATTGATCACCTCAGCGATGTGTCCTGCTTTTGTCCAGCACAATGTTGTTTCCCTTAGCGCATCTTTTCTGTGCCCTGTCAGGAGGTTTTTCGAGACACGTTTGTTCTGGAGGGCGTTATGCATTATTCTTTGTGAGGTTTCGAGTTCGTGGTGTCTGAAATGAAAACGACGCTTTCGGCACGAATTGACTCGGCAGATGAGGTGAAGCAGAGCAACATCGTTATTCACTACTTTTACAATAGACAATATCGCCAGCCGATTCAAAACGTCACTAGTGATCCACGCTAAATACAACATTTCAATGCACTCAATCAAACATAACAACAAACACAAGGTGATGTGGTGTAGCCGATGTTCCGACTCACCTCTAGGGACCCACGGGAAACGATCCGTGGTTGCCTCAAGCCACGGATCCCATGCAGGAGACGTTTATTCTATTCGCCCTCCCCAGTGCCATAGAGACTCCCCAATGTTTTCCGTGCTGCCATCTATCTACACCGCCAGGTGGCACCGTTGGCGCTAACACGCTAACGCCATGAACGCGCGCGAGCACTGTGCCTACCACTCCGTGGGTTGTGAACCTATATAAGTGCGGCCTATCTACGAGACAAGCATGCGCTACAAGGTGCGATCGACACGACGGGTGTCGATAGCACCCCCACAAGTTTTCACCTTTGTTTGATAGGGGATGAATTCTGATCAAATGGATATGCAGAATTGCCAGTGCTCTATGGTACAGACTTTTGTCGTGCTGGCCCTGATTTTTCCCTATGCATCGTTGCCAGCTCGCACACTTTTACCCTATTGCTATATGGATATTTGCAGTATGGGTATTGTTTTATGGAGAGTGCAATGGGCAGGCGCGCACGTACGCTGACGGTGCTCTGTTACCTCTCCTCTCTTTCTTCTCGTTTATTCCCCTTACCCCTTACCCCTCAGTACAGTAGGGTAGTAAACCAGACGCGCGTCTGGTTGACCTCCCTGCCTTTGATTTTGTATTTTCCTTCTCCTCCTGGTTCTGAATAATTTCTTTGTTCGAAACCGCTAAAGGACACCTTGTTTATTTCCATACTGAAGGACTGAAAACTGGGCTTAAGTGTTTTGCAAGGGTACTTGGTCAAAAAGATTGGGCATTGATTAAAAATTAATAAGATAAGGTCTAGCTGCCTGTCGATCCTTTCTCAATTGTTTCACGCTGTTTGCAAACATTCTTATGTGTTCAATGTGCACGCACCACACCGTAGGAAGACAGGGAGGGACTACAAAGCCTGTTCGTATCACCCAATGCACATCTATAACCCTTAGAGTAGTAGTAGTAGTAGTTTATCAAGCATTTTACTAGAGGAGCTGTCTCGTTCTACCTTATCCTTCAATCTTTTCATTAGTACAGTGTCATTTTTGCAAAAAGAAGATAGAAAGAGAGATCTGCTGGATATTTATCACAAATAAGAAAGGAAGGGAAATATAGGAGCCAGAAAAAAGAAGCCATAATCAAAGCAATCAGTTTCACGAAACCAGCAATAACCATTTTGTTCATACGGAGATTGATTTTATCTGCATCAGCGAAAAAACTGAACAGACACATGCTCCTTGTTGCAGAAAGCAAACTACAGGGAAAATTGAGGGCAGCTGCCATATAGAAGCGGTGTCTGTTTTGATATCTTTCACACACACTAGATGGTAGCAACTACTATACTGTGCAATCAAAAGTCATGTTTGGCAATTTGTTTTATGAAACTGAGCCACTTTCGTGCAAATGGCTACGAACAATTTTGGGTGAGAACCTTATGGTTTCGACTTGTCGACGAGAGCCCATGGGCTTGATGGTTATGCATATGAAAGGCTTTCTTGTTGCGTGAGGTTAAATACGGAAACGTCCTGCCAGTCTATCCCTTCCTTTTGGGGGGTTTCGCCTCGCGCTACGAAAAATCGGCTTGTCGGCTCGCCCCGCCGCAGTAGTGTAGTGTCTAAGGTACTCGGCTGCTGACCCACATGTCGTGGAATCGAACCCGGCTGTGGCGCGGCTTCATTTTCGATGAAGGCGAAGATTCTTGGGTATTTGTAATAAGATTTAGGTGCACGTTAAAGAACCCCAGGTGGTCGAAATTTCCGGAGCCTTCCACTACCGTGTCTCTCCTAATCAAATGGGGGTTTCGGGACGTTAAACCCAAATATCATCATCGACTTGTTGGCATCTAATGTCGTCAAGGTCTGTCATGTAGTCTCGTTTGCGCGTCTGTCATGTAGTCTGATTACAAGGGGTATGCGCCACAAAAACTGCATACATTTCACTACTCGCCACGGGTTCACTAAAAGTGAAGACAACATTCGCTCAACAAATAGCCGACAATATTATTGCATGCAGCTGAAGCATATTTTCCTGCATGCCGTAGACAACTGAAACCGGGCATGTGTGGGATAAAAACGGAAGCACCACATTATAGGGTAAGCTGCATTCCAACGCAGTTTTCTGACGACGTTATTGAAAACACTTGTCTATACATGCCCGGTTTGAGGCTCTCCATCACTATAGTGCCTCATCGAAGAAATCTTTCAAAACACTGCATGCTTCGCCCCGACCCGTGTTTCACGCTGGTGGAGGTAAAACACCCTTCCCTACATGCCCCCCCCCCCCCTTTTTTTTTTCTTATCTCATTCATTTTACATTCAGTGATGTCCCGGAAGGCCCTGTGAAATCCCGTGTACAGTGCAGTACGTACCGACTGATGAAGTCCAACAGATGACCGCTGGAGACGCGAAGTTGCCACGTGAGGCCGCTATAGGCGCTACACATATCATGGGCATAACAAGCGCATGTTCAGACTTCTTTCGTCCCACATGTGCATATACGAGCGGCTCTGCTAAGCTGCCGGTCTCGCAGCAACGGCCATAAATAAAGTGATTCACTCAACCCGGGTTTCAAAGGCGTCGGCGTGAGGAGTTGCAGATGCATAAAGACTGTTGACGTGTTAAGACGCGTGTGTAAAGCCTCTGCCGGTGATAATGTTTATGATTGCCTATAGTAATATTTTGTGACGTCACCGGCGTACAAGGAAGTCTTTTTTTCTTATGAAATGTGCATCAGTAAGCGTCTAATAATTGTGGCAATAATTATCCAAATTAGAAAGAAAAACAGTGACAACAGTCCTTGGCTTTCTCAAAGAAAATAAGATTATCGATTATTTTACATCAAGTGCGACCAATGTTGAATTGTTAATTGTGCTGAATTAGGCTGAACGAAGGTTTGTTCACACCTTCGACTAGCGTGCGTCGCGCGACCAAGTCAGCCGATAGCGACTGGTCACAAGCGGCCGCTTTCGTCGCAAAGCGACTGCTTTGGCTCAGTCTCTCGCCGCTCAATATTTCACTCACGCGACTGCAGTGGTAAGCTTCCGAACCGATCAGATGCACAGGAACATGGCGTCAGCTTATTTCGCGGGGCAACTACAATGGGAGTCATTTACTGACGGATGTGAATTACGTGCGCGAAACCACGAGGAAAGTGGCATGCATGTGTGAGCATTTGTCACCGCGGGTCACTTTCTGGTCTCGAGTCGCAAATGATCGAGTGAACGGTGCCAGTCGCAGGTGTGAAGGAGTCTTGAAGCTGCGTAACTATGTATTCTAATGCCACTGTGGTCACGCAGGGTGACTACCGCAAACCTCCGGGCAACTCACCGCCGTCTACGTGGAACCGGCGTCAGGTCCTGTACGAATACTGGGCGCGCTGGTCGTGCTGGTACAAATACCAGCCACTGGACCACATCCGGGAGTACTTTGGCGAAAAGATCGGCATCTACTTTGCCTGGCTTGGTGAGTGACCGATGCTTGTTTGGTTTGTCCGCCTCCGGATGCTCGACGCTACACAGACACGATAGAACTTGCACTTACCATCACATTCACTTTCCTAAAGCATTACAAAATGTCAACACGTGTAGAGCATCTCTAACTTTTACGCTGTTTAACTCACTAACTAAAACGAAAAGATGTCGTTGTGAATGAATGCAGAACCCCGTATGCGAGCTCGCATAGCCCTTCGCTTATGTACATGCGCGAAGTGATAAGCAATGCTAACACACTACAACCTCTGCATGTACATTGCAGGGCTTATAATACTATGCGGAACGCACGATAATTTCATGCAACACTTTAGAAAACAACGATAGTCATGTGAAAAGATTTCGTGCGTTACTGGAAGTGAATTCGAAGCGATATTTCAACGTCCAGCTTAACTGAATTCGAAGCGTGACAACGTCCAGCTTTAACTGGAAAGAAGTTTCTGTTTGCGAAAGCATTAATGCTTTTAACCTTGCTTGCGTGTATACTATATCTCCGCAGGGTTTTACACTGGCTGGCTGCTGCCTGCCGCAGCCGTAGGTTTCCTCGTCTTTCTGTACGGAATCTTCACCATCAGCAACGATGGTCCCACGTAAGCGTTTAATCAAAATATTAGGTCACTTTGGTCTCGCTTTGTTTTAGTAGTACTTTATGGCTTGTGATTATGAGGTTCACCGTGCCATGAGGTGCTGTAGCCATCACCATTGCCTTGGCATCAAGTCTTTTCCTTAGCGTTTGTTGTGAATAAATTCATTTCCGTTGCTCAAATGGACAGTCAGCTGTACTGAGTTCTTTTGCAAGACAAGCATCTGCTTGAAAAGGAATAACATATACTTGACCCTTTTATCTAAGTTGAACACGGCTGATTTATCAGTGGTATACAGGTACCTTACATTTAAATAACACATTTAAACTGCGATTAATTATTTGGGTCTGTTATACTAATGTACTTATTCATTCTCTATCTCTCTCTCTTTTTTTGTAATAGACTATGTTCTTTATAGTGTTCGCATGTCCCTATCATGTGTAAAATAGAAACAGACAATTAAAGTAGCACTTACAGGTTGGTTCCTAAGTACAACAAGAGATAACGTTCATAGGATGCGATGAAATGGTACTCAATGACCGCAGGACTGCTTGCTATGATAAAACTCCCTGTCCGAAACGTTTCTCCGGGAAAGCTTTTCTTTTGCTCATCCGCGAACTCCACTGATCCAGCTATCGTTGCAAAGACAAGTTGCCATCTGACCGTGCCGCCACGCCCGTTGCAATTCCGCAGGAACGAGGTGTGCAGCAGTGACAAGAAGTACCGCATGTGCCCGCGCTGTGACGAAAAGTATGGATGCGACTACTGGTACATAAGCGACAACTGCATCTTCACCAAGATCACCTACCTGTTCGATCACCCAGGAACTGTCTTCTACGCCATCTTCGTCTCTTTCTGGGGTTAGTCTCCCGCACATTGTTCTATAATATATATATATATATATATATATATATATATATTTGATATTAGAACCAATGGAATGTAAACAAGAAGAAAGAAAAGTGGATGAAAAAATAACCAGCCGTGAGCAGGAATCGAACCTACGACCTTCGAATAACGCGTGCATCGAAGAGCATCGAACGCGTTATTCGAAGGTCGTAGGTTCGATTCCTGCTCACGGCTGGTTATTTTTTCATCCACTTTTCTTTCTTCTTGTTTACATTCCATTGGTTCTAATAACTTCCCCTGTACATTCCTTGGCCTTACTGTCTGTTAGATCTCATTAATATTGTGTTAAAACACGGAAAAACGAGCCCTTAGGTATACACTTCTTTCCCTTATTATATATATATATATATATATATATATATATATATATATATATATATATATATATATATATATATATATATATACGTGTGTGTGTGTGTGTGTGTGTGTGTGTACGCGTTATGACCTCAATATGTTGTAAGTCTTTTTCAGTTGTTTTTTTTTTCTTTGTGGGAAGACTCACCTTGTAGATAGCATGGGACCTTATTCCGAATTGATCACATATTGGACATGTCGGCTTGACGGCGTGCTGACTGGCTAGTTGACAGGTTGGCTAGTTGAGGAAGAGGAGCGGAAGAGTATAGTCACGTCGATCATTGGGCACGCTCAGCAATATTGTCACTTAAAATGATCATTACTGAGTTGTGCGGCCCATCAAAATACAACACAAGGGCACCCTATATTCTACCAATAACTTCTGACGCAAATTTTATGCACTAGCAAACAAAGGAAAAAATTCATGTTGCATGGTAAACGTATGCTGCACTAGTAAAATAAATTTGCTCAATAACTTACTGTTACCTGCCTGTAAAAAGCAGCAAATGACTCTATCCAATCAGCAGTTGTTTCTTTTTGACATCCGTATAGCTAGTAACTATTCGCACTGCTTTCTGTAATTGTGCATGATTGCGTCATGTTCTGCCTGTTCTCTCTCAGCCGTGACATTCCTTGAGTACTGGAAAAGGAAGTCCGCCAGCTTGGCTCACCACTGGGACTGCATGGACTTCGAGGAGGAAGAGGTAAATTTACTGTGTGGTATACGATGCAGTAAAATCCCTCAATGACACGGAGTACGTGCAAATGAGATACTTTCAGCGTTAATGCGCCCGAATATGTATTCGCGTGGACTCCAAGCTGCGAAAAATGATCTGAACCCCTCAATTTAGTTGTCTCACCACCTGAGGGACGAACACTCGTCCTTCGTTTTCTACCTAGAAAGCAAAGTTTTAACCTAATTTCTTCTGCACTTCCGTCTGATCACTTTTCTTTTTTTTTCTTTTGAAAAAATATTCACGCACGTACATGAAGATATGCGCGCAGAGAGAATTAAAAAAAACGAGGGTATGAAAAACATCAATATCACGCGCATATAAAGCATTCATTGCTAGGTGCGAAATGCTCAGTCCAATTCTGTTTTTACTATCGTTTAGACTAAGAAAAAGAGTTCCTTAGTTACGCCTGTGCACACCTTGGGTATTCTTCTTGTACATACCTTGCTTATGCGCATCTAATATTGGTTTCAAAGCAGCAAATTACTCATTTCTACATGCGAACAAAAAGCACGCGTAGCTGCGAATGCATTCCGCTTTCTCCCTCTCTTTCAACACCTCTATCTCGCTTATTGTCGCCCGTCGTTATGTTAAGCAAGAAAACTGAAACACATACAAGCATGTTCATTGAATAGCAACATGCGCTAAAGCCGTGGAGATTAAAAGCTTTAAACAGCGCGCCGTTGTTTCGGCCACCTATTGCCTTCTCGTTGTACCTGCGAAGTGCAAACTTGTCGCTAAATGATGGCAGATGGCGCTACTAGGCTGTTTTTAAGGACTGAGTTATGGTGGTTGAGTTATTTATTTCACAACATGCAATTGTGTTGTTCTGCTCTTTACTACACGAAATGTCGCACTTTTCATTACGTCATTCCCTACAGTTCACACTTAACAAAATTGGGCGAATTAACAGGTTGAAAATGTTACTGTGTGCGTCTTCAGAGCTCAATTACAGCGACCTAGTTAGGCTGCGTAGTTTGGCGACATTTATCTAAATGAATACTGAATGTACTGATACATGAATACTGATCGCTGTATTTCGGATGTATACATGGCCATGTATTTTAGAAACCTACTTATGAAAGGACAGGAGAAACGGGCTGGTATGCCGTTCTTCACATTCAACTTATGGATGTCCGTTCCAAGCCACTTTTCAGCGTTGGAGAACGTATGCGGCGAACCAAAAAGAGTGTTTGAAAGGCACAGAACCCATGACGCTAAAATGTGAAAAATTCCAGCAGAGCACATCTCATGACTGCTGTTGCTGATAGCTTGGTTAGAATACACTATGGAGCTCCGTGGGATACACCATTGTATTGATGCGCCATATTGCTAAACACTCATTTTTTGTGTGGTGCGTTGGGAAGGGAGTTGTCTGAATTTCTTAACCGCGCTAGTACACACACGCCCCCCGTAACGCCGCTTGTAAGTTTATGCTTGAAAATCTTGACTTTATTAGCTTCGCAAGAATGAACTCAAAACAATTAGAACTAGTGACCGTGTCGGTCTTCGAAAGTGAAAAACTGTCACACACTCGTGTGTGGCTTGAAGTCACGAAAGTGCGTACTTGGAAATTCAAAGAAAAGCGTAACGGAAGGCAAACCGCTATTAACATGGAATTCAACTAGCTAACATAAATGGCCGTTCTTTTGGTCCCTGGATTCGACTCTCGGGTAAGGGTGAATTCTTCGTTCACTGGACAGCTTTGATTTTGCTAAACTTATGGGATTATTTTTTTTTTTTGCTTCGTTCAACAAGCAGGTGGATACGACCTTTCTTTTTATGAACCTTTCTCCACATTGTGAGATTTCGCAAAACTGCTGATTTCTCATTTCACTGCAATATGCAGCGATAAGTGGAGCAATAATGGACTGCTAGCACAAAGCCTGCTTGTTGACTTCATGACGCAGGAGCGTCCTAGGCCCGAATTCGCTGCAAGAGCATCGCATGTGGAGCGCAACCCAATCACGGGGGCCAAGGAACCGGCCTTCCCCGCCCGTGTGCGCAAGCAGAGGGTCGCCGCTGGCGTCGCCATCTTGCTCCTCATGGTGGGTGCTGCACTTGTTCTCCATCTACGAGGCGCGCTGAGGTTACACTTACATGAATGCCTGTGGAAAACCTCGGACCATACCTGCCGCAACCCGTCTGTATTTAACTTTTCCTTGCCTTTGCAATACAAAAGAAAGCGAGAAATCACAGGTTTTCATGCCAGTTTGCACTCGCTGAAAACGAAAGGTGAAAGCTATCGTCTTTTTTCTTCTCAGTCGGTCCCACCGCCCTCCCAAATCATTCTGCATCAGACTTAATTTTGCATTGCCTCCAGAACCGAAGGCACCTCTTTTGGATTTGTACAGATTCCGTGATCGGCCCACCGTTCACCAAGCTACGATGGGATTACCCCATCAGGTGACGTAACTGTGACATAATGATGCCACCAACTTTTCTCATTTGTGACTTCACATAGTGACGTCACCACGTGATGCTGACTTGTGACATCACTCGTGTTGACACCGACGCGGGGCGCTGGTCAGTTAACGCGTTTAGCGAGAAGACCATATCAGAAAACGCTGTTACGGTGCTCAGAAACAAGTTAAATACAAATAAAATGTATGACGAGAACTCAGGGTCTAGCAATTGCATTTTATTGAGTGTGAAATACGGCGTATATGCAATCAACCAATGGCGTAGCCAGAAATTTCTTTCGGATGTCAGTAAGGGCGTGGTCTTCAACTATATTTTATGCATGTTCGTGCATGCGTTGATATATGTGTGTACATATATCAATGCAAAATTGAGTTTTTTTGGCGGGGGGAGAGGCAGGTCAACTTTCCACATCCCCCAGGCTACGCCAGTGCAGCGAACACGTATGACATCAGTTCGTTCACCATTGAAAGTGATATGAACGCTGCGGTCACAATCTAGTGTCTAGATATATCAACGAGAAATCAACACATTATTGTACTGTACGTTTTTTTTTTCATCATGTACAAATAATAACAAATTATGGACCCTCCCCGAAGGAAATCCTAATGAGATGCGAAGCAGCACCGGTGCGCACGCGTTGACCCGGTTCAAACGAGCGTCGACGCGGGTGCTGGAAGAACGGTTTGAGACGAAACTCGGTGTAGCGTTTACTTTCGAGAGTAAACGTTTGCTTGAAACGCAAGGACGCGGAAGGCGGGTTGGGTTTCGTGTAAATTTCATCGCAGATAAACGAGCCCGAAGAGTGTTTCAGCTCGACGTGCGATGAAGCGTTGCCAGAGATGGGGAGAGTGAAGCAAGAAAGGTGTGTTGCGAGAGGCTGGAGGGGCCGGCAGCTTCAGGTGCTGCGCCGAGCGCGAAGCGGGAGAGAGGGACGTAGCACACACCTGCGAGGAAAGCTTGCGAGAGGAGCGTGACGTCAACGCGCAGCTGCGGTGTGACCTACTTGGCACCACTCCAACACCTGCGGCGAGGGGAACGCGTTGCGGCACGTTCGTATGGATGCACGTACGTACGGCGTTACACACGTGAGTCAAAGAGCTGCTTCACGTCTTATAAATGTGAAACATAAAACAGTGTTGTATAACTTTAACAAATAACGTGATAATTAACGTGATATAATATAAATTTATTTCGGAAAAACGTCAGCGAAAAGTGATAGGTACAAGAACGCCAAACAAAACACTTGACTTTCAAGACCTTTGATAATGTGCGGCTCACGACACTTTTTTTAAGTTAATGTTTCTTTTTTTGTGGTTGGTGCGAATATGTGGCGTCGGCTGCTCCTCTTCTCTCTCATAGTAGATACCGTTACACAATTCCTGTCGCGTGTAACTCAACAGCTGCGTTGACGTGCACCGCAGATAGCGCTGGTGCTGGTGTTCATGGTATCTGTGATCGTGTACCGAGTGTTGGTGTCGATCCCTCTGTTCCGGAGTCAATCGTTCAAGGGGCTCGCGTCAGTGATCGCCAGCAGCTCGGGCGCGTTCGTCAACCTCATCTTCATCATGATCCTCGGAAAGGTCTACGAACGGCTCGCATATCGGCTCACGCAGTGGGGTAAGCCACATATGGTTGTTCGTATGCTAACACAGAGATTTCAAGAGACGAAAAGTTTCGGCACGACTTAAAGGAGTACCAACACGATTTTGAGGCACCCATAAACATACATTTCTCTTTTTCGATGGAGTGCACTACCAACGCTCTACCCACACCGGAGTCCGACAACAAGAATACATTTTAGTTTGATATTAAAGTTTTCGTCACCCACCGTCTGCAAACGTCAACCATTGCAACTGACATTATTGCGATAATTCAACGCGGTTCACCGGATTTGCGAAGTCGACGTCCCACATGTAGCCTAAATCGTAGACATTGCTGTCAGTCTTTGGACGACAATTAATTGTCGTTGTTTACGGGAACCATGTTCGACTGACAGCTAATTGACATCTATTGCCAATATGTAGCGTTTTGCAGTCTTGTCGAAACGCCTTACTTGTGTTGACAAGTCCCGCAGCCGCCCACTCGATACCAAAACCGACATTGCTTTTTTCCTGCATTTTCAAGCACTACGTCACTTTCTGTAAGGTTCTCAAACATATCGGGGGTTTCGCGTCTTAAGACCACGATATGATTATAGGACACGCCGCTCCGAAGATTTCGACCATCTGGTGTTCTCTGACGTGCACTGACGTCACACAGTACACGGGCCTATATACCATTTCGATCAAACCCGCGACCTTCGGTTTGGCAGCCGAAAAACTTTAGCCACTGATCCACGGTGACGGACTCCGTATAATTCTGGACACCTGTCCTGCAGAGCGACAGTCTGAAAATATTTACCATGCGTGTCAGTACTCCTTTAAGTCTCCGTTACTAAGCTGTGCCCATTCAGAGGTTTTATAATCTTTGTATCAATGTCTTTCATGCAGAAATGCACCGCACGCAGACAGACTTCGACAACAACCTCACTCTCAAAGTGTTCCTGTTCCAGTTTGTGAACTTCTATTCGTCAATTTTCTACATAGCATTCTTCAAGGGGCGGTTAGTTCTCGTCATGAAGTGGTGGGAGCGGTGCTGAAATGTGCATATATGCACTTACTGACGCAGGTTCGTTGGATACCCGGGAAAATATGGACACCTTCTTGGCCTACGCAATGAGGAGGCAAGTATCGTAATAACAGTAAGTCGCCAAAATGCAATGGCGTTTTTAACTTTAATGTAGAATAAACAACTTGTCAATCAAACATGATAAAGCGAAAAATACAGGGATATGCAGTGTTGTACCATATTATGTGAGGCAGTTTCAAAGTAATTATTTGCAAGCACAATGATGCAATGTCTATGGTTGGTAAAAGTGCTGCATTTCTATTTGCACCTATGTTTTGGATGCGAATTAACGAGAAAGTTTGGACAGAATATCGAAGAAAATTTAGTTAAACAAAGAAGCTTCATTACAGCAGCGTATACATATATAATTTAAAAATTCAGTAGATCCCACGAGTTTTGCAAATTGATGTTATGCGAAGCATGCTGAGGGAAGGCGATGGTGTTGGAAATTTTTATTAAGCGACACGTTCTGAAATGACGTTAAATATATGTACAAACTTTGCACGCGCAGACATAGGTTTATATAACCCTGCAGTTGTTTGCACTTGCGCAACGCTGCCAACTGGAACGTGCGTATTAGCAACACCAGAATCTGGCATTTTAGGATTCGGAAACCCACTTAACAACCACTCAGCGACTACGGCGTTGTAATATCTGAGTACGCGCACAAGGCAGCGGCCTTACACCATGCACCAGCTGCAGAAGCCGGAAGTATACTCTTGAAATGTTACATTAGCGAAACCAAAAAAGTCAGAACTGATTCGGCGTTTTCCAGCACAAAGTCTTCAATAAATTACACGTGTCTTTGCAATTCGTGCAGACTCGGCGACAACAAGTGCTTTGTGGCCACAAAGTAAAAAAAAAAAATCCTATTTAAATTTACTTTCAAAGTCCGTATAAAGTCCCCCCGTATATACTTGGGGATGGGAGTGATGTATACTGTTGTGTGTGCGACATGGGAGCTTTTAGTCATGGTCCTATAGATGCTGGACTCGGCAAGCTACTTTAGTTGGTCGCTATGCGCGTTGTCGTGCGTGTGTATCATGTACAAATGCTTTATTTCGAACATAGTTCTCTTACCCTCTTCAAGCATGTCAAGCGTGTCGTCACGCAAACATCACCAGAAGCTGCTTTTTTTTTTTAATCCATCTTTCGCTGCCGCCACATCAACAAAGCACCTGCTTAAGTTTCACGGCTATGCGAAACAAGCAGAACTCGATTATTGCCACAACAACAAAAAAAGTACTTTTTGACTTGAACTTCGCTGGATTCCTGTAGTGGAAAAAACTGTGTGCCAATAATATTTTTGCGAGTCGATGTTTCCCGCTCAAAAGCATTTTTCGTGAAGGGTTGGGGGATACGACGGAACTTGTGTTTCGTTTATTCATTTCGTTATAACAAACTGCAGACAACAGTGAGGATTTTGCAGGAAGCGAATTAATTTTCTTTTTCAAGGAAAGAAATACAATGCAAGAATTGCAGTACTGCTAGTACAAATCAGATTCTCCCCTTATTATCTTCCGTGCTTGGCAAATTGTCCCATTTGGAGTCTCGTTAAATATACGTCCGCTTTATGAAGAAGTTTGCCATGAGCGATGCCTTTCCCGTGTTTCAGTGTAGCGGAAGCGACTGCCTGTCGGAGCTCGCCCAGCAGCTGGCCGTCATTATGGTGGGCAAGCAGATGATTAACAACGCACAGGAGATCCTTGTACCGTAAGCACATTACGCTCCATACGTTTCACATATCCCTTTGCATGCTGTGATGCACAATGCACTGTTTTGCTGCCTGTTATGTTTAGTCAAGTTCCTTGCACAACGCGTTAATCGCTCTGAAACTCCTTGTCCAAAGGGCTTTTCAACAGTAATTGATGTATGTTAATGCAGAGATGCCAGGCGTTTTTCAACTATACACCATGCGCACCTATTGATGAAAAAAATATGCTCGTATCATGACATTCAGATAGTTCTTCATAGCTTTTTTTTCTTTCTAGTGACGAAATTTGAGGAAGAAGTGTGTTAGCGTTTTCTAGACCACAATCCTTCTACACAATAACTATAGAAGCCTATATACAAAAAGACTGTACGCACTTCTAGCCAGTCACCACAAATGCTGGCCAAAATATTATTCACTGTCTCGAGTGATTTATGCAAGCTGTCATTGTTACATCAATATTTCTTACGGGCCTTCTACCTCTGAAAGATTAAGATAAACAGTGTCTGCAAACATTGTATTCTTGCACATATTCAGAACCATTTGGATTTTTTTACGTCGAATCAGTCGGCGGTAGCGCATTGCAAGGCGTAAAGTTGATGTTACATTAAAAAAGGCAAATGAAGACAATAAAATCTCAAAAAACTGTTTTACTGAAGAAACAATCTCATGAATCCCGTTTGCTTTTTGTTTCGTCACGATTGAGCTCTCGACATTTCTCGTGTCGGAATGCAATAATACCATTTAGCCCGGCTATTGTGAAGATGACACTCGGGATATCTCCAAGAACAACTTAAAATGACATCTGAATATCACGATATTCGTGCTCAGCAGTGAAGCTGTGGCGGTGAAACAGGTCTGCATTGCCAAGATTCTTATTTTGCCTAACGCTGTTGGACTTTTATGATCAGCCTTCTAATTGTCTATTGCCACACGGCGTATAGAGCTGCAGCAAAGGAAGGTTTGTTTTCACAGGAAGATCAAGGCTTGGTGGCATCGACATAGGACCAAGATGGTGTACCATGAGTCACTAACGCGATGGGAGCAGGACTACCAACTCATTCAAAACGAGGGACTCTTCCAAGAGTATCTGGAGATGGGTAAGTAACCCTTCGCCCAACAAGTTCAACAAGCTCCGTTTCGAGGCTTGGTGAGTCATTCATAGTGAACAGAAGTCGCCATCAATGTGCATAGGGGGACAGCAGCGATTACCTATAATTAATTTGTATTCGTGTCTTGCAATGAGCGCATTTCAAACCTGCAGCGTCTCGAAGCCTGCACTCGTTTCCAGTCTTTTAAATCTAACATTTAGTTCAGGTAAAGCAAAGTAGAGTGTAATAAGTTAATGTTCTTTGAAAATACAGTTGATTTAAATTGCCCTGAAAGTTGTACCGGCACAGTATGTCAGTGAAGCTTTACGAAATGTCAGGAAAGTTACCCTGATGAGGTCCGTAATATATATATATATATATATATATATATATATATATATATATATATATATATATATATATATATATATATATATATATTAGAACCTGCTTCAGAAAGGAAGCACAACACGTCGGTGCTATACATTTGAAGGTTTATTTTGGGAACAATAAGATACAACAAAGGATGTTGAACGCTAATCTATAAATAAGGTAAAATGACAGTTGTAGTATAAAATATAGCTTAAGAATCACCAACCTGCCTTGCAAGGTCAGTCTACTACAACCAGAACGATGGACACACGCTGAGAAAACTGAGTACTTGTTCGCAAAATACTGCTGTAAGACGCAGGTGCCGTCCCCGAATGTCGATCGACGCCGCCGTCGTGTCGTTTCCACGTCGTCACGAGTAACGGACAAATGGGACTGAAGCAACAAAATTTTTTTCATCCATAAGTACTGTTTTGCTTCTGGTCACTCAGCTTGTCTAGTACGTCCAGCGTTAGAATTGGTAGAAACTTCCTCTGACGAAGAATACTTTCCTACAACGTTTTTGTGAATACGGGTCCTGAATGTCAGCCGTGCAGGATGTGCTTTAACATAAAGATTATTTCTTGCGCGTATGTCTATTCTTTATAAGAAAAATGCTATCGGATTCAAAAGTATCGCATTAATTGTCACCCAAACCTCACTCCTTCACGCTGACATCTCCTTCGGTGCCCCCTGTTTATGCATAAACGAGTCATTTCATCGAGGCCAGAGCATATGCCAGGCAACTGGCCACCTATTCGTGAAGCAGGCACAGTGAGTCTTTATCACCTATCTCACAGAGGCAGCAATGCAGTGGCCTTTCCAAGCTATGTCCACGAAGCCCACTAAGACCTGACACTCGCTGTGCGGGTAACGTGTATACCAACTCGCGCGAGCTGCACGTACGATGCACGCTATGCGTCTCTTGCAACGCAGTGCTGCAGTTCGGCTTCATCACCATCTTCGTGGCAGCATTCCCGCTGGCGCCGCTGTTCGCGCTGCTCAACAACTGGGTCGAGATCCGGCTCGACGCGCAGAAGTTCGTCTGCGAGACACGCCGGTGCGTGCCTGAGCGTGCACAGAACATCGGCATATGGTTCTCCATCCTTGAGTTCCTAGCCAAGGCAGCCGTCATCAGCAATGTACGTTTTTCGTCTGTATACATATCATCATATATAGTATTACAGGTTGAGCAAGTTGGTGCCTTACAATGCCTTATACTGCTGTGGCGCAGCTCAGTTTGAGCACGAAGGGAAAAAGTCGATAGCGAAAAAGGAAACGACAGGCAACATGGTCAGTGCTAAACTTTCAACTTGTGTGCTTAATCCGTCACCCTATACAGCAAATCATATAAATCGCTTACCGCACATGTGACACCACGCACCCCCCTCCCCCCAAAAAACGAAAAAAAAAACAAGGTGCGGTGCAGCACACATGTCAAAAAGAAAATGCAATTGAACCACTATCAAAGGTTTCAATTTAAAAGTCTACGATAGCACTTACTGGAACACATGCCGTTCGGCCTAAGAAATCGACCTCTTTTTTAAATAAGGATACAGATGGCGTGCTCACTCACAACTTGACACATTTTGCAATATAATTCAGTTCAATGACCTCTGGTGTCAACTGACTCCGACTGCGGCCCAGGATCACACATCGGCTAAACACTTGACAGCACTCATCTTGCAATGCATACCCAGGAAACTGCCAGATTCAACTTTTTTCTTTAATTTGAACATTATGCTCGCGCGAGGTATCATAAACTAACTCCCACGCTCCCTTGGTGCGCTTCACTGAGCTCTAGCTCTAACAAAGACACCGGGGGTCTGCTACACTTGTCTGAGAAATACACAAACGGGCCTCAGATTCCCAATACGTATCAATACGTATCTCAATACGTATCTTTTGTAAGCCTTTGATTATCGTCGTTCTTGGACTGGAAGAAGGACAATTAAGCCTGGTGCAAGATTTTAAATACCAGCCAGCAGATGTTTCCATTGATATGCCGAAAAAAAATGCTACGGGAGAAAATTATTCTTTCTTGATTTTTATTATTACGTTTTTGTAAACGACAACCTGCACAGATAGTGGTATCACATTTATGCACCTGATCTACTATCCACATTATCGACTATAAAAATGTAATGTGTATTTATTATTATTCTTTGCACTTGTACGCATAGCTGAACCACTTAAGCAACAGCAAACAAAAGCTCCATGAGTTTCATTGTGTTGCCATTTTAATACGCCACCTATTCATCTTCCGAATTTTCTTCTTACATTAAACAATGACAATTCACTGCGCGCCCCACTTGCTTGAACATTCCGCATATATAGTTATCTGGTGTAGCCTCGTACTCCCCATTTTTCAAGAGTGTTCGAAGAATTACGTGCATCTTTGAAGGCGATTTTGCTGATTACTAAGATTACAGTGTACGCGTGTAAATTAGCGGCTCTTCTCTACTAAATACATTTATATGTCTTAAATATTTCAAGCACCCTCATCCCCGCCCCCAGTGTAGGGTAGCATACCGGTCCTTCTAGACTGGTTTACATCGCTGCCTTTCCTTTCCCTCCTTCTTCCTTCCTTCCTTCCTTGTGTGCACTTTGCGGTCACTGCTGCGGCAACGTGCAGCTCACAGCTCGCTTCCTACTCGACGCAGGCATTCCTAATCGCGTTCACCTCCGACTTTCTGACGAGGACAATGTACCGGTACGAGTTCGACTGGGACCTCAAGGGCTACGTCAACTTCACGCTAGCGCATGCACCAAAGGGTTCCTTATCTCTACCATGCAGGCGAGTACCATATTCGTGCCATTAAGTTTTGTGTGCTGTTCGTCGCGGTACCATTATTACTATCATAAACGTGCGCGGGTTCTACCATTAAGAAAAAAAAGGTGGGAAGGAGAAGTTTTTACACCCACCCCCTTATGGAGAACCTGCGTACGCCTACGAGGAAGAAATCTGCTGTTTAAAATAGCAAGCATTGTGCCAGCTGCCGAGAATCACGCTCGGGACACATTATCTTTCTTAAGTCACCAACCGATAAAAGCACGTCGTTACTAGTTAATGTCTTAGCTATTACAGCAGTCAACGACACTTACATATGTTTTCGTCGGCACTGCAGCTGCATCGTAAGACGGAACTGCAGCTGACCCTTGGCGCGGCGAGGTTGTTATTTGCGCGTTTACAGCACAAAAGATGACCTCCTAATGAAAGAAGCTGGGCGTGCAGGCACGCAAACAAGGAAGAGGTCAAGACAACACGAATGCCAACTTTCAAATGAAATGACATACTGCAGCGGAAAAGAGTACAGACGCAGAAACTCATCTGCGCGCGCGCAGGCATGGAGCATGGCATGTTAAACTAGCACAAATATTAACTATTCAGGCATTTTATTATATCGTAATGAAAGTCACACGACGGTCAACCTACACATGCGCTACCGCTACTATCATTATGCTATGCCTCGATCAATAACGAATTTCTTCGTACTTCGGCCTTTGCAACGCGGAACATTCGTAGAACCTATAGGCGGGCATTTATACTCACGACAATTCAAAGGTCTATTAAATGGTGAGCCTCCGGTTTAATGTACCTGTGAAGTCCCATTGTTTTTTTATAAATAGAGTGACCCGTTCGACACACGTTGAAGCAGCCGCAGGTAAAAATAACTTCATATGGATCATATTCATCTTCAAGTATTTGCGTAGGCACACGGGCACAACACGATGCACACAAACGAGCGCAATCTAATAAATGGTTTATTTTTTGAAAACTTTTGCTTAATAACCTTGGGATCTGCCCAGTCTGGTGAAAGATACATTGGAACCTCGCACATGGCACGACTTACGACCAGATGCTTAATGAACAGAAGACAAGAGCGAAATTTCTTCCTCAAGCAGGACAAGCAGTGGGTGGCTATATATAACACACTTTTCTTTCAGGTTGCCAATGTAATAGGCTTCCATTACGTCTATCGAAGATCGGTTTCAGTGCATATACTCTAAGGTGGTGGTGTTAAAACAAGGCGTGCATGCGCACTCATTTCGATGCAGTACTAAATGTATATATATAGTTGCGCACGTTTGTGTATCTCACATTTGTCCCCGCATGCCAGCGCAAATACTTCAAGATGAACTTCATATACCACGTCTCCGACTGACAAGTTGCCAAGAGAAGACAAATAAATCATCATAGTGCTTTAGTCACTGCTAGTTTAGGCACATTTCCGCGTGTGAAAATAAGGTTTCGTGCTTATTTTCAATTTCCGCTACGGTGACTATTCTCAGTTTGCAGTCGGCGTCTGTGCTTATTGTTCTCTTCCTCGCGTTAATGTTTGCACGAATAGACCTTATTTTCATCAATTCGTGTCAACTGTATCTCAAATTTCCGTGTCCTAAGATATGAGTATATAATGGCCGCAGCGTTAGTGATTAAGCCATATTGATATATATGGTGCCACTGTTGTAGCCCTCTGGCTCAGGCCTTCGATGCCGAAATCGTAAGAAGTCTTGATGCACGCACTGCCGCATCGGAGCCATAATTCATAGGGCGTAGGGCATAGGGACAGGGGCTGAAAAGAAGGACACACTAACACACCGAGCTATGTACGTATGTCCTTTTTCGCTGTCTTTGCCGTGATGCGCTACAACCAACTAACCCGGCAACGTACCTTACCAAATTGTATTGGAAACGTGACTTTGTAACAGCTTAGCACTGGCACGCGGATACAAGTTTCGGTTCGCAGTGCACGTCTATGACAATTCAGAGCTCGCACATAACTAAATCTAATAATTCTGCACGCATGATCACGAGTTGATCTTGTCTCCCCTATGTTCATGCTATCCTGTGCGTGCCAAACGCAATAAATGCATGCTTACACGACAGTGCAAACGCCGCACAAGGGAGATAACGTGCTTTCAAAATACGTGTAGCTATTCTGTTGTGTATGGAGAGGCAGGTTCGCTGCCCCGTATAACCGTTTATGAGGCCGACTGTGAGAAACGTAGTTTTGATGATGTGCCGCAGGTACCGTGATCTGAGGGATGAGAACGGGAACTGGACTTTCTTTCACTGGAAGCTGCTGGCTGTACGACTAGCTTTCGTCATTATATTTGAGGTGAGCACAAGTACATAGTTCCGAAAACCTCAGTCGACTGGAATAATCTGTCAGCGTCTGTAGTAACTATACGCGATCCAAATCTTTTCAAACATGCGCTTGGGAACATGATCTAGAATCGTAAATGTCTGTCATCTGTTCTCTCTTTTTTTTTTCCTTCTTGTTTGGTGTTCAAAGCTGTTGCCCTTGTACTTTTTGCTGTTATTATATTTATATCTGAGTTACTCAATTAGGTGGTACATTTTATATAGCCAGCGGTCTTATCCTTTACTTTTTGTCTTTATTGTATACTTGTTACTGTACTCGCCTAATTTGATTGTTCATGTATCTCTTTAGTTGTTATTTTTTCATCTCTTCGTACTTGTTCCTGCCCTCTATAATGTACTGTATGCACCTTGAAGGCATTTCAAATAAATAATTAGGTGCACGCCTCCATCCGGAGCGCATGGTCATAAATTTTGTTGCATTACAACTGAAAGATATGTGGTTATGGTGCTCAGCTGGTGATCCGAATATGGCGATACCTAATCCCGGGCTGTGGCGGATGCATTTTCAATGAAGGCAATATTGATTGAGGCCCGTGTGCTTATACGTTTAGGTGGAAGTTAAAGGACCCCGGGTGATTGAAACTTCGGAGCCTTCCACTATATACGATATGCCTCGTAATTTTGTCGTGGTTTTCGGACGTAGCGCCCCAACAATTGTTATTATTACGTCATAATTGGCGAGATCATAGAATTTATAGGCGAAATCAGGGAGTTGCTGAAAAAACGCCAGTGCGCCAAACTACGATTTCGAAATGCTAAAATTTTCCTGCAGCTTTATTGAATACTGAAAAGAGAAAGGGTATGAACCCTGACATTGTTCATTTCTTCATAGCAGTGGGCGTCTCATTAAATGTATTGCTCATTATCGGCGGCTTTAGTTCGGTGACTTATTGAACGACCGTTGTTGATTTCAAACGCTATAGTCTTCATATAAGATTTACCTTGTGACGGCATTCGTATACCTAATGAAACATTTATGGACTAGCGGTTTTCCTGTGGCCATCTTTCTGTGTCCTTGTTTTGTTCCGTCATATTATGCATTCAACTTTTACGAAAGTTCTAATAAATGTGTGTTTTTAACAAGACTGCTAACGAATGGTGAATTCTATTATAATTTATTGGGTTTCTGCGTATCATAAGTTTGCCTTGCGTATAGGATGCCCTTTATTGCGTCACTGCCCACATACGTTAAGCAAACTATTACAATCGTTTGAGCTGTGGCATTGTTCTGTAAGTTAACCTCACCACATGTTCACAGCACGTGGTCTTCTGCGTGTGCCGTCTGATTGACCTGGTGGTGCCGGACATCCCAAGTCAATTGGAGTTGAAAATCAAGCGTGAGCGATACCTGGCGAAGCAGGCACTCGCCGACTCGGAGACCATCATGAAGGTCCGTTTTTTTTTCCCTCTGTTTCTTCACCGCGCTTCGTTAAGCAGTTGAAAAGTCTAGCATGGCAGTTGTTTCTTTACGCTTATATAACTAGCAAGCCTTATTTCTCATACAATGTCGTCTTCTTGAGGGCTTATCCGTGTCTGTACAATGTCGTTGGAAGCCACTGTGTTCCATCAAGCTTTTCATTTGTTTGCTAGTTAGTTTGTGCTTAACATTAACTCCCTTATGTTCTCGGCTCTCAGTTAGAGCAAAAACATAGCGATAACCTATTTGTTCCCCCTAAGTTTTTTTTTTTACTATGAGAAAGCAATTTACCATAAGCATAAATTAAACGCAAATAAAAATAAATAAAAATAGGTTGAACGAAATAAACTGCGCGAGAAACTAGGACGAACAGGTAACGACAAACATAAAGAGTGTTTGACTAAACAGCATTAAGGTATTTATTTCAATATAAAAGCATGCACTAACATGTCCAGCTGATAGTACTTGCATGAGTGCGACAGCACAGGAAAATAACATATTTTAGTCGTTCTTGACTTCTTTACTTCTAAGTCATACTACCAACTCGATAATTGTTAAATAATCAAAGTACTGGCGTTAGAACTTCATTTGGGCCAGTTGGTTCGTGCTATATAACGTAGATACAACGCGACACATTGAATGTAGAAAGAAAAACTAAACCAGGAAGCGGCACCGTTTCCTGTCTGTTTTCTTCCGGCGTTAATTCGATGTACCTATACGATGTTTGATATAACGTTAACTGTTACCGCTGTTCGAAATTTCGCCGTAAAACCATCCTCACCCCATCAAACACAAATCAGTGGCACTGAGGAGAGTTTCTTGTATCTTTGTCTCGATAATTTAAGCAACGCGAGTGCGAGGTACCTTCACCGCGTCATCATTCACTTGCCGAACTTTTGGTGCTCTGGAATGTTCTTTTGACCCAGAGTGACAGTTCGCAGTTCTCTCTTTCGAGGATCCTAAATGGAGGCAAACTGAGCATCCCCACGTTCGCAGCCATAATTCGAGCCGCTGCTTCGTGTCTTTGGCAAATTCTGCGTTATTTCACGCGTGGTAAGGTTCGTGCGTGCAGAAACAAAAACATAACTGCGGTCGTGCTGCCGACAGTACACCCTTTTTTCAGGCTGTCATAGATATTTCAACTTTCAAGAAGAAAAAAAATGCTGGAAATACCTCAAATTAGACTTACATAGTTTAAGTTCGCTCTTTTTGGTACTTCAGGTGGGGTGACGGAAAGGTCGGCGTTGGCAACTGTAATAGTTTCTTATACGATCAAACAAACCAATGCTATAAAATCAGACGTAATGCTTCTCTTTCTGTTGATAAAAAGGGCTCCGATTATCGGCAGTTTGTGCAACCTATTGCTTCTTTTTTATTACACTGCTAAGTATCACCTATGTTTGCATGTCATCTTAATATTGTTTCAAAGATCGTTTGATTTCCATCGTGTTTTGTTTTTTATTATTATTTTATGTTTGTGTGACTACGTGGCTTTTGGCCGATTCGACGGAATGAGAGCGTGCCATTAAAATGAGATCTACGCTTACGTCCACATTTACAGGTGGCGCAGAGAAAAGACGACGACGATGACGAAGAAACAGAGGCGCCAGCAGTCTGAAGAACCAGAATAGCGTTTTGGATTAAGCTGGCTTAGACTACAGCGCGAGCCCGGAGCTGAACTCAACCGCAATTTGTCTCCTGTGGGCTGTTTTCTCAACGGTTGTACTTCCGAGGCATTGCGCTACTGCCGAGAAATGATGCCAGAAAAAGGGCCGTGAGCTGCGAATGCAGCCGCTAGGCTCACCAAGCCTACAAGAGCGTGGTACCTTTAACAATCGTGCGAGTACTTTGTGGGAACTCTGCTTTACCTCCAGCGCATCAGGTGCTTCATATTATCGTTTAAGCGCCTGCATGATGATATTGAAATTTGGAGGGAGGCACAACTGCACACCACCCTAATTCGCTCGATGAAATTCTGTCAGTAAGTATCGTTATACCACTTGGGTCAGAATGAAAAGTATTCATCGCACTTTTCGAATATTCTGAAGCAATGTTATGTCATTTACGATTTCGTAACGCTGGGTCTACATCACCCGTGGCAGTGTGGGCGATGCAGAAAAATGTGAAGTACAGGGTTATTAACCGCAAATACTATCCAGCTTGCTCCTTTGCGCAAGAAATGGAACAATGAGATATTCAACGAGAAAAATGACACAGCAGCATCCATTGCATCATATGGTGGGTGAGACGAAAATACAGCTTTTTGCCAGTTTATTGCTGTTCAGTTTTGATTTATCTTAGGCTTGATTCTCTTCGGCAAAATGTGATTATAGGAAGACGACCGGCACTTCCAAGTGAATATGCGCCTCAGACTCAGTCGGCCAATAAGCCTGTTGGTCTCGGCGCCATGGCGGCTTTGCTCTATTTGATGGTTGTGTATACGGAGCTAAAGTTTTAAGTCCGAACTGGTGTCAGCCATTCCAGCACTTCTGGGAACGTCTGTCGTTTATGACGGAGGACCCAGTTGGCTGTTCGTGTGTGTGGTACGTTTTGCTGCCCGTTGGTCGTTGCCCTTTGTGTGCAGATCATATCATACCACGAGTCTCGGCGTTCGGAACATGTTACATATGGGACGCTCACTCACTCACGTACTCGTTCGGAGAGCTCTTGCACATTCCCTCGGGCGCTGCTTCCTTCCATGTGTCAGGTGATGATCAGGGATGTCCAATAATTGCGTCACAAGACCGTTTTCGCTCTCAACGACCATTTGAATGACATGAAAGCGTTTCGCTTGATCTTTGCCCTATCCTTCCATACTCATGCATTTGTATACATATACACAGCTGCATTTTTATTCGTTTTTGTATTTGTTCGTGTTCTTTCGCGTTTGGTATTGAAGCAAAACTGTCCAGATTTTATAAATTATTAGTTGTATGAGTATAATATTCACCGGAAAATTCGACCCCAGATTATATCTGGAATAACTCTGTGTACAAGTGTACGAAGTAACGCATGATTCTTATGAATGTTATTCTCCATATTGGATTTTATCGGAATTATTTTTACTGCATCAGGTCTGCGTTTAGCTTTGTGAACGACCGAATTTCCTTTGATCTTGTCACACCCATGACTTTTTATTATTCCGCCACGGTGGACCAGTGCCAAGGCGACAGTGCTCGGCTGCCGACTTGAAGGTCTCGGTTTCGAACCCGCCCATGGTGGTCGCATTTCGTCGGAGGCGAAAAGTCAGATGCTCGTGCTCTGTGCGATGTCGGTTCACGTTCAAGAACAGCAGATGGTCGAAATTTCCGGAGCCGTCCACTACGGCGTCTCTCATAGCGTGGTTTTGGGACGTAAAACCCCGGAATTCGCGTTGACTAGTTTTACTGTTATTGACTTGTTTTATTATTGACGACTGTCGGAATTTTCTAGTTGACGCAGTGGTGCTCAGTGGTATCATCGTACGTACGCTGTCAGCTTGATCAGTGGTTGAAACAAATTTTCTGTAGAGAATGAGAATGAACGCTTATATGTTGTTTTTAGCGAAGACTTGTCGCCTTCCTGCGAGGTCCTGGCTCTTTTGCAATCCTTATTGCTATTGACCACTCAAATCATGGTTGCCCAACAAATACGAAGTGCCAACATTCGTCGCTTTGGGTTCTTGCGCAGGTACTTGATGTGGCTGTTCTATGATTTACGCTACTGACTGGCACAGTGGTGCTTATTAAGAGGAGATGCTTTCCTGATTGAGTGCTCTTGACCTCATATTTGTTTCTCGTACTGCGTCTTATAGATGCTTTATGTATAGACCATACTCCCAAGCGAAAGTATTGTTTCTGTGGAGAGCCTCGTCTTCAGTGTTCACATCCACAGAACCTCACCCAGGAGAGAAGAGCTTTACGTGCCGCTAATGTGATATCTTTGCCACTCTCAGCAGTCATTTCGAGACATGCCTCCAAACTATTACCGGGTCAGCTTCCCTGCACCGCACCACTCTTTGACTATAGCCGGAGAAAACCAGGCTATGTGTCCTACGTGATAAAAATTCTGCCTTCCTGCCCCCGGCTTTGTGTCATTTGAACCACACTAGCTAGCTAACAGTTGTGTGACCTTTGTAATAAACTTTTCCTGCTCGGGTAACCTGACAGGGACGAATTCACAGGAGTAATCCATGAGAGCAATCCGTGGGAGTAAGTGTTGCACGAATCGGCTCCCGGTGATCAAATAGTATAGATAATCATCGCCTTGCGTATGCTGGCGCTTTTTACTTAACACTGGCCCGGTTTTAAAGGAGCCAGCAATGCCTGATATCTATGGTTGCGCCTAGCACAAGGCCTCCGCGTCACCCGTGTTAACTGTTAGCTGCATTACCCGAACACCACTCGTGAAACCCTTTCTTGAGATACTCACTGTTAATCCATACCGCTGCTCGCAAGCGTTTTCCTTCACTTGTGCCACTCTGCCCACAGAGGTGCCGTCATGAGAGACGAGCAGTGCCACCTACCTTCGATTCTCATCTCTACAGTACAAGAGACGTGCTTGTTTTATGGTCGAAGGTGATGTTCGACCACAAAGTTGTTTCCCCTATAGCTGTTATTTCTCCGTTCTATCTATATACAACGCCTACATGCAGCTCACCCATTTATCACTCAAGTTATTGTTGCACAATTTTTAATGGGCTGTTGTCGATACCCATGTGGTTATGCTGTACATACATTTTGTAATAAACCCACTCTTTGTTGTGTCAGTGTAGAGTTTCTTTTGTCTTGTATTGAGTGTTGCGTGTATCGGTATACCTCCGCTGTATCGGCCTATATCAGCTCAGAGTCGAAGTCATACCATCCTTCATGGAACTTTGCGGTGGTTGCACATGACCGTACAACGTCGCCGCTGAGCCTTGAGTGCAGTACAACGCACGTTTTCGCCAGAAAATTTCGCACGTATTACACAGCAGTATCCATGTCAAAATTTCGGTTGATTTTGTTCTGGCCAGTGATGGTTTATTTATGAGCGGAAACTGGTGAGGACGATAAAAGTGTCTGCTGACCAAGCGAGGGAAAATGAAATTTTACGCGCAACGTAAACAGATGTAATGACAGTCTATTATAATGAAAAACAGTGCATATATTAACTACGCTGAAGTTAAAAAGAGGAACAGGTGTGAATTGTATGTAACACATGTAAATATTGACGTATGTTCAATTCGCTAAGCAATATAAACGAGTCAGTGGCTTTCCCGTTTGGGGGGGGGGGGGGGGGGATTTGTAATGCAAGCCAACACTCCGACGACAACTGAACATAGCCACCCCATTCACTGCCCCACTATATTTTTCACCAATATTCCAACGTATACCTTCAGATATTCTGTTGTGAATGCAATCCAGGATGAGGAGGGTGCTCATGACTGAATTTCCATGATTGATTCTGGAGAAGTGTCGTATTCGCCTAAACTGGAGCAGTGGAAACCGCGGGCTTGGATGCAATGCTTTGCAGAACGACTTCTCGACCCTATCAAGCTGACCTTGCGGTGGAATATTGAAAAATAATAAAAATAATAAACATCATCATTCGTGGTATAATTATTTGCTTGACAAAGCGAGTAAAACCTTCTCCCAGGATACATTCGGCTCACGTGAATCAAATCGCTGTCTGCAGACCCTGTGTCATCTGAATTTTATGATCTGTTGGATTTCTCCAGCTGGAGCAAGAAAATGGCAGGTGCAATATTCCTGTCAAGCACATCGTGATTTCCATGTTAGGGCCTGTTACTTATGTTCCCCATGTAGTCATGTCATACCATACCAATTTTGCGATATGTCATGTGAACGAAACCACGGCATGCCGGAGCACCAAGACCATGACAAGTAAATCATGACATTCATGACAAACATTTTATGATTTTCATGTTATGACTAGGCAATTATGCTCGTAATACAGTCATATTATGTCAAACCAGTTTTGGTACTGATCCCATTATTCAAATGGCCAGAAGAATTAAGTAGGCTGCTAGACAGATAAATAGATACGGTCAAAGTCACCGAAGTTCGGTAACAAATGCTTCACATTTAAAAGAAAGAAAGTGTGAACCAAGGATGACGATTTCATAACTGTATCGATTGTTACATGTAGTTTTCTTCGACAATGACGCTGATGACGTCAAGGCTGCGGAAATCTTCTGTAAAATTGAGCAAGAAAGCCTTAATTGACGTAAAATTTACCTATGCATTCTTGAAGGATGACTCAATACAGTTGCTCAATTTGTTGCTAGCGTTTACTCTGAATCATGTTTACTGGCAATATCCCAGATCGGTCAAACTTTTATTAAAATACAGCTCTGTTCGCAGAATTGAGTGAGACATGTCATGTCCTGTTTTCACTATTTGATGACCAAATCTTGTCACCCCTTGGGATCCATGCAGTTTCACTGTTCAGGTGCAGAAACTGACGCAAGATGAGTTCCCGCAAGAGATGCTCTATGCTATTGTGGGAAACTATACTTAAATTCAAAAAAAGGCAGCACAATGAACCTGAGCCAGTTCAAGAAACGTGCGTTCAAGAAACAAGGGTCACTTCTAGTTTGTTGAAACACGGAAGCCAGAAAGCACGGGAACTTGTTGAGGCAGCACACATATCCAATCTGTCGCAAGCATGTATCAGTCAGGCGTCGGTGACGCAACATGATAAGGATGATGTATCTTGCCACAACATGGAAACGTGGCCCCACTGTGGTAGTCTAGTGGCTAAGGTATACTCGGCTGTGGACCCCCAGGTCGCGGAATTTGAAACCCGGCTGCATGCGGCGGCTGTATTTTAGATGGAAGCGAAAAAGCTGCATGCCCGTGTGCTCAGAGGTGGGGGCATGTTAAAAGAACCCCAGGTGGGGGAAATTTCCGGAGCCCTCCACTATGGGGTTAGTCTTAATCATATGGTGGTTTTGGGACGTTAAGTTTCTAATGTCTAACATCGAGAACGTGCCATCAGTGTGCATTGGTTGTTGAGCGATGTAGTGTGGCCATATTTACGGTCGAGGCTGTATACATGTCTCACTTCTGAATAAAAAGTATTTAACACAAAGCTGCACGGCCACCCGGACCATCCCACAGAACGTGGGCGTTAGCCAAAACGCCACAACATTCGCTTCAACCCACCGACTTTCAGACGTCTCCTGGACGAATGGGAGATGGACGAAGACGAAGTCGAGAAGGACGTCGACGAGTTGCATGAGCCAAAGCAAGGCGTCGTGGCTATAAACGCGTCGAGTCGGACGGTTGTGT